TTTTATACAATCAAGCTATCCACTCGGAGTGAAGGTTATTGGTTCAGGTTTACCTCTGAATAGCAAAGATCTCACCTTATGAAGGGAAAAGGGGAACGCTATCCGAAAGGCGGACATAAAATATGATACCTCTAGGACGAGGGATATTTGAGGCATTTTTTGTCCGAGAATCAATGATTGCCTCTCATGTTACAGCGATGGCCTAAAATAGAAGAGTGCAATCGAATGCCATGGGATGTCTACACTGCTCGTTGGGAATGGCACAAAAAAATTTAAATTTACAAAGAAAAAAGTAAGAGTAGGGACTGAAAAAGCTTGGATATCCAATGGGAGGCTTTTGCAATGCCTTCAACCTTATTGATTCACTTGTTTACTTGTTTATCTGACTGTATGTTTATTGATTTATCTAGTTTATTTATTTCTTTTTCGTTTGTTTATTTCCAAATGCGCAAGCCGAGCTAGATTACCCGAACACGACATTTACTTTCGGAATAGGACTATCGATGGAACAACTTTGACCAAATTTTCCAATATTGAAATTGAACGAGCTTTCGATAACTGATAGGGTTTTTACTTCAGAATGATGGGATTTTAACTTTAAAATATGAATTTTCACTGGAAAATGGAGTGGAGCGCTGTGGACAATTGATTTTACGGCAGGAAAGCGCTGCTGTTGGAAGTGATTTTATAGTCCTCTTATGCCATTGAACGCGGTGAACATGATTTCCCGAGGGATAGTAGGAGTACTGAATTATTGCCCTCATTTTCGTGAACTTTCGAATTGACACATTGTGTTTTCAGAAGGATGTGCAGACGCTTTCACAGACGACACGGTCAAGTGCAGCTCGACGAAGTTTGAACACGTCCACGTCGCCGGTGTTGGCACCACGAGGTCACAGTCCAGTTCGTGCCACGGCCGCCAGTAATGGCGGTGCGAGCAGTTCCAGAACAACAGCACCTGTTGGAGTGCCACTAAGGTGAATCTTATTGGAAGCCCATCCTTTCTGAGTTTTCAGGAGCGAAAACGTCTATTTTTTTTGAATTTTTCCTTGATTTTTTGGCTTATTCGCTATTTTATCCCTTCATTTGCTCAATTCAGTTGGCTCAGAGTAATTTATCCCGATGCAATTTTCGATAAGGAAGAATAGCCTTGATTGAAAACTCATAAAAAGCTATACTGGTGCGTCAATCGGGAGGTGCTAGTCTAGAAGGTGGCATATTTTACCCATTTTTGCAGAACTTGGAGGGATCCTCTTCACATACTCTCGTCTCATAGGAAGAACTCGAAAGTGGCGTGCAGGTCAAACTGTCTTGTCTTGCTAGCCATCCATACTGATGCTGTTAGGGGAGATGGACGATCTTAACGTGACGAGGTTGCACCGCTTGGGTCGCGCGCGGCCAGGTAATGTCACTACACTGCCGTATCCGCACAGGTTGCCATTGGAACAAGGGCGCAACTCGTACGCAAAGGCTGCGGTGTTGCAGGCCACGCCCACCGAGGCGTCGACTCACGATGTAATCGCTACATACCCGCGTTTATGGTTTTTATAAGAGGAAGAGTATCAGCGAGAAGTGGAATACGAATGCCCCCCCCCTCATGCCGTTTTTCGCCCGAGGAAATTACTGATCCTATCACGCTGATACAATTGGAATCCTATTTACCGAGGACAGTCTGGAGAGAAAAACTGGAAGCTTCTTAAGAGGACAGAGATTCTTTTGCCTTCTCAGTTCCCGCGAGAATTACTGATGATTTCTCAGTTTCTCCATAGAGGATTACCCCTGCGGACCAGTAATATATCATGCATGAGTTGAAGTGCAGTCGAACTGGTGAGCTGGCGCTGCCTCTGAAGGCCCTGTGATGAATTGGCTGAGGTTCCTGCAGAAAATGTGCTCAAGAAATCGAATTTTAGGAAGGCAGTTATGCTGTTGTTAATGCTGCTAGGGCCCTAATCGTAGACATCCTTTATATGAATAGGTATGGCAAAGGAATTTTCGCCAAGGTTCTGATCAAAGCTGGTCGGTTGCCGTTGGAAAGTGGACCATCAC